GGTCACAAAGTTACTTCTTCATTACTGCTGTAACCATTGGTCACAAAGTTACTTCTTCATTACTGCTGTAACTGTGAACAGCTGCTGTCTGAGGCAGTTGCTAAACAAGGACTACGTGTAAAGAAGAAACTCATCTTATCTGCCATCCTTAGTTTACCCGGGATGGTAAGATTTATCTTTCTTTCTTAAAAAAATATCCATTGTATGTCATAAAGTTGGTTTTTTCCAGATGTCTCTGTAATTCCAAGACAGAATGGTTCATGCCAGCGAAGCTGTCAAACTGTACGGAGGTTGTACAGTTAATAAGTTCATTTGCCTTCAGAGATTCATGTTGCAACCCAGAAGCATCTCAGAGGACCTATAATCTTCGTCGGTTCTGTTTCACATGAAACAGCCACAGAAAACATTCAGAATTCACATTTCTAGTAAAACACAAATGACAATTGCCATGGGAGAGCCCCAGACCAAAAAGCTGTTCTTTATAGTTGATGCTGCAAAGATGAAACGAGAGGTACTTTACTTCAAAGAGCTGTGCGGTAATTGTTCAAACACTCTTTGTACAGAAATGGAAACAGACCTACTTATATATCATGTTTTAAAGTCCAGCTTCTTTATTCACAAAGGCATTTGTTCAAAATAGGATCCCATAATAAGAAAACAAAACAAGGAAATGCTAAGTGTTGTAAGAAAAACCTTGTTGCTGTTAAGATAATTTTTAGTTTTTAGGGTTTTTTTAAAATATGACTTTACAAATGCTGCTTTTTTTATTTATATTGCCAAAATCCAACGGAACACATAAAGCATTATTAGTAAAGCATAATTAGGGCATCTTTCAAAAACCTGACACCTAGTCATGGTGATCATTTAATGAAATCAGAGGAATGATTATTAGCAATAGCACTTAGACGTACCCTTTCCCCTCCTGAAAATAAGACTTCCCTGGATAATAAGCCTAATCGATCTTTTCAGCACATGCGCTAAAAGAAGCCTTCCCCTGAAAATAAGTCGTCCTCTAAAATATTTAAATGCACGCACAGCCAGTCCCCACCATTTCCTGGAGAGGGGAAATGCGGGGAACATGCCCTACGTGCCCCACAGGCATCTGCCATCCATGCGGAACGGCCTCTTGGAGGCTGCTTCCGCAAACTCTAGCGATGCCAGGGCTGGCAAGAGTGTGCCAGAAACAGAGAAAGAACTTCCAGCCCTCTCTGGATCAGCTGATCCATGGGCTATGGGCCAAGGTTAAGGGATGTCATGCACCTCCAAAAAAAAAAAAAACACCTCCCCAAAAATAAGGCCAAGNAGGGGGATCATACACTTAGGCATGAGGGGTGGGGGTTGCAGGGAGCATGCGTGCATGAATGGAGGGGCACATACAGGGGGTCGTGTGGGGGCGCGAGCATCCTGGGTCATGAATGCATGGGGATCATGGGGGGGGGGGTCACACATGCATTGCATTATGGGTGCTTGCATGTGCGCTTTCAACACTCGGCGACAAAAAGGTTAGCCATCACTGCTATAGAATATGTAATTCAAGGCCAAACCAACACATACATGCATGCATGCATACATACATACATACACATACATACATACAGATCAATCAAGCTAAGCCACACCAGGCTCCGAGGTGCCTCACAAGGCTCGCAACAGATCCTGTTTCTTAGTCACCAAACAGTTCCCATTGATTGACTTGTTGTTATGGCTATCCCAGCTCATACTTTCTTATACACTGACATATAATAATTTCTGCTACTGGTTGGGGAGGGAGTGGGGGCGAACCGGTCCAATCCAGTAGAATATCACCTCTGTGATAGACCAAAAAGACCATGATTTCAAGACTGCATTAGCAATTAGAGCCCTTAGCAGGACACAGCTTTTACACATATAACAAAATGTAGTAATATTTAGGGTCACACAATTGCCTTTGTTAGCGAAGTGCCAGAATGTAAGATTTTGAGGGCAGGTGGTAGCAAAGCCTCTTTATCTGAAAGGTGGTTATAAATGGCTGCTCTCTTTTGGTTTAATTGCTGTGATTAAATGGTTTTTAAAAAAAATTATTGTCTGCGTTCTGTCAATTGTTTTAAAGTCATTAAATTATTATTTTACCCTGTATTGTTTTTGGCTTGGTTAGACAATGTACACTGATGGTAAGATCAATAAGGACATGATTAAGGGTTTGGCAGCAATCCCTGTTTATTGACTGCAATTGGGACCAGCGCTTCAGTCATTAAATGGTTGCAAAGTGAAAAATCACATTATCACAACTGTACTTAGGATTTTACTTCCGCTTTCCGTTGCTTTTACAGCTCAGAAGATGCAACTCCAAACAGCTGGGTGAGTCCAAATGGCAGGGAAGGTTAACAAATTTCAACTCATAAAGAGTCCAAGGAAAAGGGAAACCTGATAGGCCAGATAGGTCAAACGTGCGGCCTGCGGGCCAGATGCATCATGCGTTGGCCACGCCCAAGCCCAGTTTAGTGAAGGGGGGGGAAGTTGCGATATGTCAGGTGATGA